CCCTAAACTTCTAAAGCCCAAAACCCTAGACTTCTAAACCCCAAAACCCTAAACTTCCAAACCCCCAAAACCCTAAACTTCTAAACCCTAAAACCCTAAACTTCTAAACCCCAAAACCCTAAACTTCTAAAGCCCAAAACCCTAGACTTCTAAACCCCAAAACCCTAAACTTCCAAACCCCCAAAACCCTAAACTTCTAAACCCCTAAAACCCTAAACTTCTAAACCCCAAAACCCTAAACTTCTAAACCCCAAAACCCTAAACTTCCAAACCCCAAAACCCTAAGCTTCTAAACCCCCAAAACCCTAAACTTCTAAAGCCCAAAACCCTAAACTTCTAAACCCCAAAAGCCTAAACTTCTAAACCCCCAAAACCCTAAACTTCTAAACCCCCAAAACCCTAAGCTAAACCCCCAAAACCCTAAACTTCTAAACGCCAAAACCCTAAGCTTCTAAACCCCCAAAACCCTAAACTTCTAAAGCCCACAACCCTAAACTTCTACACCCCACAACCCTAAGCTTCTAAACCCCCAGCTCCAAGGCTACAAGGGCCAGAGAGTCGGTGCCTCGTCCGCTGCTGCCCGGATGAACTCGTCGCCACCTGGTTCAGGGTTTACGGTTTATAGGGTTTACGGTTTATAGGGTTTATAGGGTTTATAAGGTTTATAGGGTTTAGGGGACTCAGGGCTTAGAAAAAGTTAGGGGGAGTTAGGAGTTTAGGGCTTCGGGGGTTTAGGGGTTAGGGGTCAAGGGGTTTAGAGTCTAGGGCGCCTCCCAGCATTCCCTCAGTCTTTGTTAGTTTTTGTTGAGGGGAAGGGCGGTAAGGGCGGTTCGAGGGCTTAGGGCTACAGGGCTTTTCAACGTTTCTGCTGCATTTATTCTGAGGCTACTGCGTCCTGCATCGACACAGATATCTTCCCAAATATGCCTTCAGTAAGGAGTCTTTGGTGAATCAAGTTGCGAATCCCAACTTAAGGGAGATAAACATGAGATAAATTTGTTAAAATGTCAAAACTAAGTGGCAACATGCAAGATCTGAGATCAGAAACGTGAGGTAGAATGCTGGGGAGGGGCAAGCCCGATTGTTCTGCGAAGCCCTCGATTGCTAAAGCGTGCTGAAGCTGCCCGTTCAATCCCCCTTCAGTCGGTATGCCTGACAACCCGGCGCCAGCGAAGCAAAAGTAACTCAGCACCGCCGCAAGCTCGAAGGTGTTCAAGTTCTGGTAGTTGCTCTGCACATACTGCTGGCAATGCTGGGACAGAACACTGCTCGGGAAGTCCACCCTTTTGAAAGCCAGGCACACCTGCGCCAGGTCCCTTCCCGGTAACTTTTGGGGATCCAGGGCCGACACGTGCTCCGCGGCGCGCCGCCAGAAGCGCGCGTCGCGCCAGGGGTGCAGGGCGGCTCGCCGCATCGCGCGGACCAGGCTGTCTCCAGTGAGGTTCTGGAGGTCCACGTAGGGAGGAAGGCACCGGGGCGCCTCGGACAAAAGTTGTGGAGACTCTCCTCTCAGCAGTCTTTCAACCTGGCCTGCCTTCTCGAAGATGTAGAGCTGGAGGAAGCGCTCTGTGGGTGCAGCCATGTGCTAAGAGAGCTTCGGTCTACAAGGATTCTACAGTGCTGCTTTTGTCTGCCTGCCTTTCTGAGCTGTGTGAATCGTCATCAACTGTGGGAACGACTCACATGGAGCTTCGCTTGCGCCGAAGCCCAATCATTCTCTTGCAGGAGGATCTTAGTGTGCAGCCAATTCTTCCCAAGACCTGCGAAGATCCACAATCTCTACCAGAGCTACCCCATGATACATACACATGTCCACACCGAAGTGCGGAGTTCAGGTCTGTCGAGACTGAGTCGAGACGTTCGAGTCCCGATTGAAACACGTTGCAGGAGGATGGGATTGCACCTGCATTGCCTCTGAAGTGGGCAATGGTACCTGGCAAACATCACAAAACATCTTCGCACTTGGCCGGTGAAAGCAGTACAGAACAAGGCCCCCTCCTGCACACCTGTAGCCTTGCGGTTACAAATCTCGCAAGCCTGCCTCTGCTCCTATTTTCCATGGCGCGCTGCCATTAAGTCTCGCCTACGGCAAGCAAACGCTGCTAGCCCTCCTACGATGCGCGGATGCACAGAGCAACAAAAGCTGTCAGGCATGGTCTTCGCGCCTTGGCGCGTAGGGCTTAGGGGTTTAGGGAGGTTTAGATCTGAACAACCTCTGCGAAATATGCAAAAGCAGTCCAGGGCTTTGATGCTTCTGGATCAAAGCTTCGCCCTGAATGGATTTGTCTTGTCGTGTTCGTACAGCTCGATCTGGAAGAGTGGCGACTCTTTCCTGTCGCAGCTCAGAGCTTTGTAATCGACCAGCAAAATCACAGCTTAGGGGTTTCCAATTGGATTTGGGGTTTAGGATTTTCGGGCCTTGGGGGGCCTAGAGCTGAAATTCCGAAAGATTTTTGTCTGACGCCGGTCCTCTGGTATGAAATCTCGAGCCTGCCAGCCGTGCGCCAGTGCACCTGATCTCACGAGACGAAAAGATGCTATCTAGTTATCTAGGCTTGTGCAGATCAGGGCTGAAGGTTTAGAGTGTAGGGTCGCCTCGTCGAGCCTTTGTCTCGTCTCCCCCAAGACAAACCTTCTGCCTCGACACCAAACAGCCTAGAACCGAACGTCTCTCCTCATCATCTGCACCGCCCCTCAACCCCAAACCACTTGGCCTCAAACTTTCAAACCCTGCTTTTTTGGCCCCTTTAACGCTAAGAAAAATCGCTCTGCGACGCTACAGGTGCCGGCTGCCTCGTCCGGGCCATCTGCCCAACGCAGATTCCGGGCCCTGGAAGCCAAAATTCTCTTAGGTTCTGCAAAGCTCGAGGGGCGATGAGCTTGCAATATAAGATGCAGAGGGCTTAGATATCTTCGGCTTTCCAGGCAGCGCGTGGGGCGAATGAGATCGAGCGAGGTGTGCTTCAAAGGAATTCGCGGCGACTCGCCAACCTACCGTCCAGCGCTGACGGCCGAAGTAGAAGCACCACCCAAATATTTCTTGACGTCTGGCAAGCTCCGAGAGCGTGGCGCCACGAAGGCAGCAGGCAAGAAGCTGTCCTGGGAGCCTCACAGAGACAGCCCCAGTGTTATGAGAGCCAGAATTTGGACCTCGAGCTCTCCACCAACACTGAAGTGCCTCTGAAAATCTTAGACAGTGAAACTGCCGCTTGTGCGTTCCACCAGTACGTCTCAAGGAATGAAGTAAAAGCGGCGCATTGACTTCACAAAAACTAAACCTCAGAATCCTAGATATGTAAGGAGAGCATTTTTCCATGAATGGAGACTCGCCTCCGAGGCCGCCATGAAGCTGCATGGCACGGTCCACCACGCGCTGCGTCCTCACCGCACTATATCTATATATCTATATATCTATATACCTATAGATCTATATATCTACATATCTATTTATCTACATATCTACATATCTACATATCTGCATATCTGTATATCTTTGTATCTATATATCTATATATCTATATATCTAAATATCTAAATATCTATATATCTATATACATCTATATATCTGTATATTTATATAACAAACATATATAGATATATATACATGTATACAGAGAAAGGTACACGCCGTGGAGAGGGGATTTGGAATGAGACATTGTTCCATGAGTTGGGTCGTGTCATACAGGGCAAGAATAATCAATCCATGCTTTCGCGTTTTTGCCTCTAGTAAAACATTGAGGATACAAGCTTTCAGATGGTCTGTAGAGGTAGCGGGGGCGGGGGGGATGGGAAGGGGCAGGAGGATAAGAAAAAATGGAGGGCAGGGGATGGGAGGGGGGCAAAATGGAAAACAAACAAAACAAACAAGCAGGCAAGAAACAAGCGAGCACATCAACACAAGCAAAACAGCCACGTAATCAATCAATCATTCAATCAATCAATCAATCAATCAGTCATGTTCATAAACAGAATCTCGCGGTTACACAGTCTCTAGATCTCCAAAGCTCCAACTGCTTGGGCCCAGGCGTGGCTGGCACGACAGCTTTGACCAGGCCTGAGACAAAGCAAAGTAGAACTGGGGACCGAAACAAGCGTTCAGCAATTACAGCACCCAAACCCCCCCAAACTCACGACCCTAAACAGGAGGCAAACCAAGGCAATACCTGGTGTTGACTTAAGGGCCTCACATTCAGGGAGGCAAGTGGAAACAACCGCATTGCCTGCTCACCCGCAACGCGAAACGTCGGCATTGTCTCTCATGCTAGCAAGCGCACCTACAGTAAAATATCGGAAAAACACCTTAAGTAGGGTTCTGGGTTTAGGGCTTTGGGGTGGTATGAGGGGTTGCTGGAAGCTAAAGGCATCGCCAAAGCTGTGCGTAAGTTGAGGCCCGAGCTGAGCAGCTTGCGAGTGTAATGATCCCGGTTGCCGAGCCTCCCGAATCAACATGGGAGTTGCAGAAAAAAAGGGACTGCAACATCGCCCTTGTAGGACATTCTAAGATCTTTCTTATGAGGACCCACGGTTCATGTACAGCAGACCCTGATTGACGAACTCCCATTCGCCTCCATCCGACACATGGAGCGTGCAGCACAAAGTCATACCAAACAAATGAGACGCTGGCACATTGCTATCAATGCCATTTGCATTTCGGGAAGGCTCAAAAGGCTCTGGCCGCTTGGTGTGGCACTTTGCAAGGCTACACAGTCATGCTGAAGAGATCATGTGCAAAATTGCACGAATGCCTGCTAAGGTCTCTTTCATACGTGTAAGGCTGCAAAACTGCACGAATGCCTCCTAAGGTCTCTCTCTCATACGTGTAAGGCAACATGATGCGTGTTCACAGGGCACTGCTTGCACGTCCAGAGGAGATATGCACAAAGCATACAGGCGTCGAGCTGTGTTTTCAGTTGAAGGCGAATTATGTCATCATGACATTCTGCAGCCGGATGTGTGGGGGAATCGATCCAAGAACAATCATCTGCGACTGATCTGAAAAACATATGCAAGTTGAATGGAAATATCTGCTGTCTGTTAATTGCTGCATGTTGACCTTAACCCAGCGGTCCCTGCATGTTGTCCCCTATTCACTGCTAGTGCGGCTACTGCTATTTTGGTAAAACTGTGATGTTGATTACCTCTGCGCATGCTCCTGGTGCAGTGTGGCTCGTGTCCCCACTTGCACAAGAATAGCAAACAAGCACACTCAGCCAAAGCATGCGCGCCAAATGGTTGCAAAGCAGCAATTGTCCGAGTTGTACACAGCCTGCATGCCCCAAACCGCTTTGGACGGTTTGCCGGGGTGCCCCCGGGCTGGCGCCTCACCGCAGCGGCTGCCTTCTGACGATCCGGCTCAAAATAAAATCAGTATACTATACTCGGTTGAAAGCTACAAGAAAAAATTCTTCGGGCCCGTATTGGGCGAAGTTAAATGTTCAATGTTGCCTTTCAGATGCAGGGAAGTCTTCATCTCGAAGCTCCAACTCGACGAAGCTGTGGTTCGCGCCAAGTTTGGATTGCACGGCGGCCGGGAAGTGAATCGGGTGAAGGCGACCGGCATCCTCTCTGAAGTCCAGGCGGTCGTCTCGAAAACGACGCGTGCTGCGGTCGCCAAGTTAGCATGGTCCACTCCCACAGTCTTGGCTTGGTAGGCATCCACAACACCACACGGAGACACGGAAGTTCACATTTCTCCTTCTCCGACTTTGTGCAAAGAACGAGATATCGGTGCTGACGGTGGCGGGCAATGGCGTAAGAGGAGAGCTCCGTGCGGTTCTGTATAGTGTCGCACTCGGTCTCTATAGGGTCAACGGCAGTGGAAAGTTCAAAAGACTGGTGCCCTTGAGCCAAAAACAAGTTCACAATCTCTGATTCTAGAGATTCCGGCCTCGGGCGCAAGATGGCTTGGAAAATTCGTTAGCTTGGGCAGTTGCTGCTACCTTTCTTCGTGTGAAAGTTGCCTGCTGAAGCGAGACTGACGGACTAAAAAGCTCCCTGCACCAGCAATCGCTGGCAGTAACGACAGCTCTGTGCTGCAGTATAAGCCCTCACAGACTCGGTGACCGGCTTCGATGTGTCACTGATAGCTAGTAACATTATCCCCGTATGTCCCTGTGTAACTTGTGTAATTCGCCTCGCCCCGGCCCCGCAAGAACCTAGAGACCCCACCCCGCCATCAATGAAGAGGCCCACCCATGCCTTTGCGGCTGTGCCCAACCCGGCCGAAGCACACGACGCGAAGCATTTACAAATTTTGCCACAGTATACCTCAAATCCCCGTCTTGATGGGAGCACCAAGCTTCCCAACTTCAGCTCTTGGCCTGTCCATCCGGTCCGCGGCTTCTCGCACTAGAAGCCGCGCCTGCTGCGGAAGATGCAAGGGAGAGGCGGGAGCGTGTGCTAAGCCAGAACGCCCGAGGTCAGACTCGGAAGCGGGAAGAGCCCGAGCCCCCCGAAAACCAGAGTTTAGGGTCTTTGAAAGGTTTAGGGATCCCATGGCACCCGGAACATGCCTGGTCGATCTCTGAACGGCACTCGGCAATCTGCTGCACCTTATAGCACATGTGAAATAATGAGAGCACGTCAAATTCCGTGCTACCGAACCTGCCAATGCCGCCGTAAACCGTGAGTCCTCCAACCGGGTTCCTCACGACGGCACCCATCTCGGCCAGCTTTTGGCCGAAGGCCGTGCGTGTGGTGGCGCGGCCTTTGGCTTGGAATTTCGGGGCCTTAATAATTAGAATAGGGTGTTGGGGTATAGTAGACTGTAACCACACCAAAGAATCCCAAAATAGTATTGGCACTTGTTTAGGCCCCTACATTGCAGTTGTTCGGCCCTGAATTCTGGGATTCAGGTTCGGGCCGTTCAGGGCTCACCTTTGGATCTCTGCCTTACTTCGTACAAAACCTTGGCCGACATCTGTCCCAGGCCCCAGGGACGAGGAGGGAATCCGATTAAGACCGAAATGCACAGCAGAAAGGCACAAAAGTCGTCACCGACGGCAGCTCTGTAGAATTACCGCTTAGACCCAAAAGACGACTTCTGGCGTCTGTAAGCGCCTGGCGGCACATGTGGCTTAAAGCGCGCTCTGCCTGCGACAGCAGCAAGTTCTTCACACACAGCATATCATGCTGCTTTCGTTTCCAGCTCGTGCAGCAGAGTCTTGCAAAAAAACTTCCCGAAAACCCCGCCGCTTGATACTAACCTAGGAAATGAAACATTCACACGAGACACTTCACACCCTGCCTGCCCAATCATCCGCATGCAGTGATGGATACCTTGGGGCATTGCCCTAAATCCTAAACCCCCAATTAAAACCAAAAGCGAGCAACAACTCCGGCCACTCTACACCCAGCTAACAGGACATCACAACTACACCCAAATTGGATCTACATCCCCTAAAACCCCTGCATAAAAACCCATGAACCCTCTACACCAACCCAGACTTTATACTTCTTATATGACCCACTATAACCCTAAACCCGAAAGCCTAAGCCCTTGGAACCCCTAAACTAAACCCTAACCCCTTTGAACCGAAGCCCCAAGCCCCCGGAGGCTGCTGAGGCGTGGCAGCTTAGCAGGCCAAGCCGCGGCCGGGTCCCAGCCGCAGCTGCGCGATCTCGAAGCCGCGGCCCTTCACAGTGAGGGTTTAGGGTTTAGGAGCTGCATGCAGATGGCCTAGAGTAAACCCCCAACAGTATTAAGGACAAATAGTGCTGGGATTCCCTCTACATTACTCCTATAAGGATTTAGGGTATTGGGTTTCCAAAATTTGGGCTCCGGTACCAGTACCAAGATTTTTCCCTAGGTTTCACTGTTATATTCCATCATACAAATAATATACCCCCAAACCATAACATGGTCCCATGCTTTGGCAATTCTCATACACAATGGCGGTCATCTATCCTCGTTCCTTCACCGATGTCAGTTCATGTGTATGGCTGCCTACAAGTTTCAACTCTTGTCACGCGACCTTCTTAAAGATCAGGATTTCTGGGACGATTTACCCGATTTTGAAAAATAAGCTGCAGAACAAACTTAGATGAACTTAGATGGCTAACCACTTTTCTGAAAGAGAGCACGTTTCCGTCGACTGTTTTCGACACTCCCCAGTGGAACCGTTGTTGATTTTTGCTATGAAGTTACAGCATAACTTCATCGAGCACCAAGCTTTCCGATTGCTTCAAGCACCCGCCTCTCCCCAGATCATGTTGCTCGCAGGCACACGGACATCCTGCAACTCTCAGATGCATTATTGAGGTTATGCTCTAGAGAACTACAGATGTTGGCTGCGACGGATTTTGGCAACCGAAGGCCAAGCAAAGCAGGGGCACAGGCGAGACGGCAAGCCTGTTCAATCAATCAGGTAGACTTTAGGGTTTAGGGTTTAGGGCCTTGGGGTTTAGACTGCTTGATGGCAGACTTATCAGCCCCCTGCCTGAAGCCCATCTTGGATGCCACTGGAGTATCCCTAATGTCTCTATGGCAGTAGACTAACATCCAGGCCCAGAGCAGCCTCAAACAGGATCTCCATGTGCCCCTTGGGGCAATCATCGTCACCGAACGTCTCCATAGGTCGCACCAGTGTGATGCCGGGCGTGTCCTAGGAGAAACTCATGCGAGCCGCTCTCTCCTGTCAGCAGCACTAAAATGAAGCTTAAGCACCACGGCTTAGTGTTACCCTAAGGGTCCAAAGGACCTAATGATCATGTACTTGGTTACGGATAGTAGTTTTGTAGGTTAGTATTCAGAAGAGTATATGATACTTGGACCCTTAGGGTTAGTGCTGCTTTGATTTTAACGCATGTTTTACGCCCCACCTGGCGGGAGGGGCAAGGATCTTGCTCCTTTTCATGCGTGCCCCAACATGCTCAGAACATCTCAGAACTAAGTCAAGGTCAGCTGCACACTGATTACGACTTGTGCAAACTGATACACGGCACTCTGAGCTATACCAGCCGTGTCACTTTTGCGTGAGGAGTAAATGGCCTTGGCATCCCGAGGCGTCAAGCCATTGACATGATCGTTGGCGATTTACTTGCAGAGCAACATCTTCACTTTCACAGTGGGTGCTGGCTGATCTCCTTGGCTCACTGTCCCACGAGTGCGTGAAACGGCAGTCATCGCTTCGTGAAGCTGTAGTGATGGAGTGCTGGGCATTCCCTTCGTTGAGCAAAGTCTCGAGATGAGTTCGTGCGAAGTTGTCATGAGTCTTTGGAGACTCGACAGAACCTACGTTTTCCGTTTGACTTTCTGACCACAGTGTACTCACGAGAACACGGAAACTCGTTCGCCTCTTGGTAGACGTGGGTACGAACCCAAGATCGCTCCAGTTGGCAATCCCAGGTTTGGAAGCTCTCGCTGAGCACGCCAATCGGAAGGAAAGACTTGTAGCAGTGTCTCAATGGGCTGGGGAGTGGATGGAGGGGCAAACGGCTCGGATCCGGATCCGGCACTGCATCTGCCAAGGCAGCCACGGCTACGGGGCAGCTCGGTGATGTAATCGTCACCATCTCCTTTGCCACTGCCAGCGGTACGGCTGCATGTTGCAACGAGTAGAAGCACGACACCATGTCGAAAACCCGCGGCCGAAAAATGGCCCCCAGCTGCCCAAAGTCTGCCCTGACGAAATCCGTTTTGGATCCCATCCTTGTCGATGCCTTCTTCAAGGACTCTGTGCTCATATCCAAGCAGCACAGGAAGAGAGTGCTTCTTTGCTGCAGCCATCGTGCACATTGGCAATCGGAACCACAGCCCACATCGAGTACCAAGGGCATCTCCGGTGCGCAACCCAACGCAGCCTGTAAGAAATCGATATCTGATTCCTTCGCTTCGACAGGCCCGGAGAACGCTGTGAGAGTCTCAGCCCCGTCCATCGCATGCTGCACGTCAGAAGTGCTCCAAACCAGGGTTGACTTCTGGCGGTTCTTACTTGGGCGGGACGCTGATTTAGAACACACTCTCAAGTCGGGAACCCCCATAAATCTGTAGCTGCCCAAGAGCCAAGCGGTTTGCGAGCAAGTGGAACTGTCCTTCCTGAAATTCGTCAAGCCCTTGCAATTCCTTGCAATCTCTTGTCATATTTTGAGGCCACGGGACGTCGTCGGTTTTCAACAGACGGACATGGAGGTATTGGCATGGCAATTGCCCTACTTTAGCTAGCCAACATAGGTCTACCCGATACACCGGTACAGGAAACTCCCTGATACTCCCTGACCCCGACAAGCTTCCGAAAGCGTTGCCCTGGGAGCCCCCCATTTTCTCGCATCTGCGGAAGAAGCCCTAAACCCTAAAAACCCTAAACCCCTATAAGCCCTAAACCCTAGAAACCCTAAACCCCCTATAAGCCCTAAACCCTGTAGGGTTTCTCCTAACGTTTCCGGGGCTCCAGGCCATGGGAACCAGGATCTGCGACTGGGACCGGTAAGTTGGCGACTCCGCCGTGCCGGTCCTTTTGGGAGATTTTGCGAATGAACAGCAGGAGGGCTTAGAAAAATAACCAAGGTTGCATTGGGCTTAAGGTTTATAGGGTCTATAGGGTTTAGGGTTTTGGGTTTAGGGTTGCAGACTGGTATCTTCTTAGCTAATTCTGTCATACTTTGTCTCTCATTTTAGGACTCTCCCTCCCTGAACTTACCTACTTACCGGTTTGGCCTCAAGGGCGGGCCCGCCGTGTGGAGACTGGTTTTAGAAAGGGGCCAGAATGACTCTAGAGGAGGGGGGGGGCATACAGTGCACGTACTGTCTTTGCGAATGGCTGTTGGCGCAGATAAGCGGAGAATGCCAAACGGCATGCAAAAAGCCGAAGAGCGAAAATGGCATTGGATTAAAGATGTTGCGCGAAGAAAATCCGAGCAGTCCAGCTCGAAAAATGCGGAAAGCCCGAGCACCCGAAACGTACAGAAAACTTCGAAAACGTGAACAAAATCCTAACAGCAAAAACCCGACAGGAGCGAACAGTGCGAAAAAGCGCAGAAAAGTCGAAAAGTCGAAAAACCCGAAACGCACCGAAAAGTGCGAAAAAGCACGTAACACTACGAAACATAGGAAAAAACCGGCGCAAGCACCGAAAAGTGCGAAAAGCACAGAAACACGCGAAGAGTCGAAAAGTCAGAAAAAGCCTGACAGTGGAAAAGTCAAAAACTTTTCGACCTTTTCGAGATCTATCTCGGTTCTGAGCTTATCGAAACCAACGCCTGTCTCGGTTCTCAGCTTGTCGAAACCAACGCCTGCTTGCATACTTAGCGGACTTGGCCCACTTGGCCCAGCGCAGTGCGCATTCCCACCCTCAAGTCACACAAGCTGGGCAATCGGAGCCTTCCCATGAGGATCATGATCTTGCAGTCGATATTCCTCACACGATACAGTCAATACAGAGCATACCGCCCTTTTGCGTTGAGTGTGTGTGGACTTGGAGACGCAGCTGGGCTATTCCGGACCGACTCTGCCCGAATCTGGAGAGCCACACACAGTGGACACTTGGAGCACAGACGAAGGTTTCATAGCTGCTGTCAAGCTTCCCCGCTCCGGTGATCCAGTGCTTTCTGCCTCACGTCCATACCGCATCGGTCAACTTACCCAACACTCTGCAATACCTAGATTTCTAGTGCGAATTATCCAGAACACTTTCAAGCACCCTGTTCTAAAGCTCAGTAAACACATTCAACATGTTCGTCGTGATCTCAAGCAAGTAGCTTCTAGTCAGACGCCGTGACATTCAAGGTGCATCGGTTTGAGACTTGGCAGTGGCATCCTCAGCAAGGCACCGTTGATCACCCAGTGGTCACCGTCTCGCATGATCATGGTCCTGCACGGCACACAAGCAAGGTCGGCTCTGCAGCTCCCAGCGGCACGAAATCGGTCCTGATGTTTGTGGCATCGCTGCTTGCAACTGCCGGCTCAGTCATGGCCTCATTCGATCTTCAACTCTGCATGCCGGGCACTGAGGACCACATTGCTGCCAGTGACCGTAGCTGAAAGCTGAGGAAAAGAAGAGCACAGCACAGTGTCTGCATTCATTTCAGATCCGGTCCAGCTCAGGTAACAAGAGCTGCAGTGCACATTGCCCTGATCCATCAGCTGCTGCAGTGTTTGCAACCACTGACTTGAGAATACTTGAGGCAAGACCCTGGGTTGTCGGAGATTAAGCTTCTGGAATCTGAAAGCTAAGCAAGCAGTCCTGAGAAAGACTTGCTTGGCAAAACACGGGATATGCCAAAAGTTGTACCATGTCTGCAAGGGTTCAGCCGGGGGATGAGGTTTCAAGATGTCTCAAGGTCTCGTCTGCAACAACACTAGTTTGCGTGTGTGACCCGCAGTCGAGAACAGACAACACCCTCAAGGTATGCAAGAAGGCGCGGGGTATCACACGTCACGTCGTGTTGGGTTGTTACAAACTGTGCTGAGCACACGGTTGGCCCCCCTCTCATCTCACATGGAAGAGCCACAGGCGTCCATCCAGCGCATGTCCTGGCTGCCTGGCCAGGGCATGTCCTCCTTCTTCTTCTTGCGGAAGTATACACAAGCAGCTTTCATCTGCACGCGCATGCGCGCCGCGGCCCGTACCACTTCCCAGTCGCTGTTGCGACGCAGCCGCACAGTTGGGGACCGACCTCGTCGCTTGCCCTCTTTCAGCTGCGCTGAGGGATCTGATTCGGAGCTGTAACTGCAGGTGCTGTCAATGGATGCTGCTGACATTTTCCTAGGTGCATTTGAGTGGCTTTGCAGCCTCGTCAGATCTCCCAGATCCTCTGCCTCAGCCTGATCACAATCGTCATCTTGCGACCGCTGCAAGCAGCCCAGCGGCAGCAGCACTCGTGTGGCAACCTGGAAGCTGCCTCCTTTGTGTAGGTCAGGGACAGTTGTGGAATGCCCCGACTGCGGACTGCACAGCAGCGAGGGCAACCTTGTGCTCCCTGGGCTGGAATTCTCCTGACTCATTGCTCCAGCCACTCGCCGGCCTTCAACGAATTTGCGAGCAGCCATGGCACGCTTCAGGTCTGCATGTCGTGCCGCCTCCTTCCCTGGATAGCATGAGCACGAAAAAGTCCGAGGAGGCCGGGCAACACCGAGAGCCACGCACAAGGCCTCAGAGAAGTCGCTGCAGTTGCGGCGGATGCAGTGGTACTCGGCTGCTACCCATGCTGAATCGAAACGATGCAAGAGCATCTTCACCTCATCTTCCGACAACGAGGTGGTTCCCAAGGTCACAGACTCCCTGTACAAAGGGTATGCACAGCCTCCGGGGCAGCATTCGACAATGCCGTTGGATGAAAAGCTCCACTCGCGACCGTGAACCTCCACTCCTGTGTGAAAGATGCCCAAAATGCCCTTGAGACAGGTGTTCAAGCCTAGAACTAGTCCGGGAAGGTCGTAGATGTGGAGCTTCACAGTGTGGTGCTGCAAATCTGGAGGCCCAGCCAACGGCGAAAAGCAGGAGAGCGCCTCCTGCAAGCCTCGCTTCCGCGCCATGATCGGCACCCGGGGGTGTCCAAGGAAAGGGTAGGGTACATGAGGACTTCTGATAGGAATTGGTGAGCCGTGGAGTTTAAGGTGTAGCCAGGTGCCCGTTCCGGTGACATCATGTAACAGGCCCAATAAGCCGCTCGCTTCTACGAATCCGAGCTGCCAAGCCTCAAAAAGGGTATGTACGGCACGGCAAATCGGGAGCCAAATCGGGGACCCTACTATAGTACCCTAAATAGTTGGATCCTTATTATAAGGACCCCAAAATAAGGTACCCCCTTGTTTCCAGAAAGTCCCAAGTGGGCCACTGCAGCACCAATTCTGAGAGACGGGCATAGCAGGACCGTATCCTTGCATCCAGCAGCGGCTCCTTGGTGGGCTGAACGTTTCCCACTGCTCCGAGCGGTTTTAGGGTTTAGGGGTTTAGGGGTTTAGGGCTTTAGGGTTTTAGGGTTCCTTTAAAGGGATCCATAAGGGGACCTATAAGGGGTTTAGGGTTTAGGGTTTTTTTGCTCAGAGCCCGGGGCCTTCCGTCCGGCTCTGATTTTAATTAACTAAAAAAGGAACCTCCTTTTGAAGACTCACTAGGGATCCCGAAGCCACACCGCAGAGCCTCGAACGACGACATCATCGATCCCGAGCCGTCTCGAGTGAAGAGCTTCGGGCTTTGGATTGTAAGGCGTGGCACTGTAGAGTTCAGGGCTCTGGAGAGGTTTTAGGGCTTTAGGGTTTAGGGTTTTAGGGTTCCTTTAAAGGGATCTATAAGGGGACCTATAAGGGGTTTAGGGCTTTAGGGATGTAAGGCTTCAAGAATCCGCTGCTCGGGGTTTCCTGTCCCGGCCCAGGTCTTGGATTTGCCAAACGATGCCCAACCACGAGTCCCACATTCCTACCTTAAACTACCAAAACCTACTTTTTTGTGGGGTCCCTATAAATTCCATATTAGGGGTTTATATTAAGAACCTACATAAAAGTAGGGTTTGGTAGTTTAAGGTAGACCCTGAACGTCAATAACCGCTACACCCCTAACACCAATCAATACGTCGCAATAACAAGCTTTGCTACATCAGCAACCCTAGCTTATTTATTTATCATAAGCCCACATGGACTCTACACCTTCGACACTCCTACTATACCCTATAGGCCCTAAACCGAAACCCCCCTCAGTCACCCGGCCAGCCACTGCTTCTTCTGCTCCTCCGTGCCAAATCGGGCCAAGACCTGGGAGCCCCAAAACCCTGCAATAAGGACAACAGAGGTTTTCCACAGCAGTGATGACAGACAGTGAGAGTTCTGAGGGTGATATAGTGATTGCAGCAAAAGTATCAGTAATAAATATAGTCTACGAAGTAATCATAGAAATAACATGCATGGTAAAAATGAGCATAACAGTAATCACAAGAGTATTCATAACAATGATCAAATCCAAAAAAAACGAGGACTGATCAGACGCAGGGCCAGTGCCACAGCCGTGTACCGCTACACCGCACTGCCCAAGGGACTGGTAATTACCCAAAGAGCCAAGAGCCCTTCAGTAACCTTACCTCGGGTCTTGATATTCCGGGTATACAGGGGGTATTGGGGTCTGTGGGAGTTTGGGATGACATGTCGGCGGCCACTTTGCTCGCCCAGCTGCTTCCATGTTCCCAGTGTCTGGGCTCGCACAGTTGCACGCCTGACCGAGGAAAAGGAGGAACAGATGCGCAGCTGGTATGCCGGACATGTGTAGTGTGCATGTATATGTATATGTATGTGCATCTGTATGATACAAGTATGTGTATAAGTACGTGCGTGTGTGTATGTAAAAGGCATGTAAACATACGTGTATGTATATACATATATACACATGCACACATACATACATACATACATACATACATACATACGTACATACATACATGCATACATACATACATAAATACATGTACACGTACATGTACATGTACATGTATATGTATGTATGTGTATATATATATATTGCCACACACATATGTACATGTACATATACCTATATACACATTGTGATTACTATCATTATTATTATTATATATATATGTTATGTATATGTATATATATATATATATCATATGTATAACTTATGTACATGTGTGTATACATATCTATGTATATAATGTGTGTCATGTGGTTCAATGGCCAAACACAAAACCAACTGAATATTGGAACGGAAGCAGCCTCTGCTGCGAACTCAGCATGGTTGGCGGTTCCCATGATCTCGCAGCCTCAAGTTCCATGTCCATCAAATGCCATTGCTTGGTGATGATGCAATGCACATGTGGGATCGTCTAAGGCCGTCGCACTCAGCATACCTCAGCTGGACAGGTGAAGCGATTTCCATGTCATCTATAGGTCTGTGTTACTGCATCCGGTTATAAGACTAGATCAAGACTTGGTGTAACAAGTAGTAGTAGTAGTAGTAGTAGTAGTACCTACTACTACTACTACTACTACTACTACGACTACTCCCTCCTCCTACTCCTACACCTACACATTACTATCACTGTGCCAAGCCACTGCAGGTTTGTAGGACCTCCGCCACGGCGCCCGGCCAGCTTGGCCGAGTCTACCGGCAGGAAAAGGTTCCTGGGCTTTTGCTCTCTTCAAGTTTAAAAGAAAGGGGCCTCCATAATTATTTATATTAATTATTCTGGGGTTCCGTAATATGATTATAGTATAATGGGCCCCAAAACCCTAGTCTAATTGTTAAGGCCCCTATATTAAGTTCAGGGGTTTAGGGCTTAGGCGTGTCGGGCTTTCTAGCTTATGTTCCGGGGTTGGGCCATTATTGTTCGTCAGCGATGACGCCACATTCCTGGTGGCGGCAAAGGTCGGGAAGAATAAGAAAAAAACTGATGGTGCTGATGATAATAGTGATGATGATGATGACGCTGATAATGAAGGTGATGCTGATGCTGGTGATCGGCAACTCACCAGAAGATGACTGGATGAATAATGATTGGACTGACTACCGTGCAGGATCGGAGCCCTAGACCGAAAACCCTGAACCCTGAAATCCCACAACCCCAAACCCTGAGCCCTAAACGTTTAACCCTAAACCCTCATGCCCTGAACCCCCAAAAACGCCAAACCCTGTGTTGGATAAGACAGCCTCTGTCGGAAGCCAGAACCCTGGCCACTGGGTGCCGCACCAAAGGCCCCTGGCCTGCACCGCACGTGCAGGGAAATATGGGAAAAGGACTTTGTACGGGATTTAGATGGTTTTAGTGTAGAGGGAAATTGGGTTTCGCATAGGAGCCTTAATGATGAGCACAGAGCACATCGTATCATACTCATTTACTATAATCATAAGTCATAAGTACAATGGCTTGGGACCAGATGAAAACGAAGAAAATCAAGGACAGACATCTGCAACATTTCCCGCAAACACGCCAACTTTCACAACATTGTATGTCGGAATGTCGGTATATACCTATTATTACGTATTGCATGCACGTATATACAAAACAATTAAACACATTTCATATGTCTGTACATGCATGTCTACAGAGAGCTACCTAGACACGTGCTGGCAATTATCTGCCACTTACTTGCCTAAATACGCAAATGCACCTCTAGTAGTCGAAGTTCACTTACACGTCGGCTCTCTCCTCGTATCGATCTCACGGGCACCTTTCTCCCTGAGCCTTGACACCTCCAAACATTAAAAACTCAGAAAAAGCAGCAACAGGTACAGGGCCCAGGGTACCTTCGCCTTCTCGCGCAGCTCGACGATGATGGGCGGCTGCCGCCAGTGGCTCGGGCCCTTCGCCCGAACCTCCCTCACCTGATTTGGGAGTTTAGGGTTTAGGAGTTTAGGGTTTAAGGGCTCTTATATAAGGCACAGGGACAGATGTGGTTTATATGTGTTTAGCAGCTCCGAGTCTCGAGACTCGGAGCTGCTTTAATTGCACCCTGTCTAGCCTCCACCCTATGCCAACGTTAGAGCTTTTGGTTTAGGGTTTAGGAATTAGGGTTTAGGGGTTCTTACACTACGGTAGGTCCATGGCTTGGTCGATAACTCTGAGCATGTAGTCCTTCCCAGTGAAGCATGTCTTGCGTATCACAGCTACTTCACTCATCATCATCATGATACGATTTCTCGCGGCTACTAGACATATGGCTGTTTGTTGATGTTGGCATTGCGTGGGACTACGACGACGAGGGTGACAATGATGGCGCGGTGTGTTGTGGTCTTCTGTTCAGCTGTTAAAGGCTGCTATGACCCTCTCTCTGCTGCTTCAATTTGTCGACGCTGGCAGCCTGGGCCTCATTAGAGAGACAGTCTGACCCAAAGTTGCCAGCTCGTATCTGTTAACAAGCTATGATGTAAGAAGCCATTGAGGCTCCATTAACGACGGGGCAGAGGCCAACGTCCAAAAGCGAAAATCATCAGTGTCGGAACACTGACGGAGTTCTGCCGCCTCACCAACTCTAAACCGTCTCTGAACCTCCCAAGTGCCAGTCAGGACTTTCGGGCTCGATGGAACGGTGCAAATATTCGGAACTCGAAGTAATAATTGACACAGCTACGTCCAGAGTGCTGTTTGGTGCTACAAGCCCTGCCTGCTGGATGTGAAGCAGTTCGTTGGGATAAATCCTGAGCAGACCCAGCCAAGCGCTCCACTAGTGTGATGTTCAGGGGCCTTAATGACTAGAAGAGAGCTCTGGGGACCTAGTATAGTATACTTGGAAAAAGGAACCCTCCGGCATACGATAATCGGTAAGTCTTCAGGCCCCTCAAAAACCAAGCTTTCCGACCAAAGTTCTTGCAGGGCTTCGGGACTGTAGCCTTTTGAGGGACACCGCCTCGGCTTGCTGATGCGACGAAGTTTGGGCCAGCTGCGGAACAACTTGGGTGTCCCTTTGCCTCTGTTTGTGCTTGCTGATTTCTAGTAGCACTACATCAGCGGAGTCCGGCGATCATGGTGTGACGTGCGAGTGCAACTACCGATCTTCAGCCGAAACGGTCGCTGTTATTTTTCCGGCTGGTGCTGGTCATCTGTATTCCAGTGATTCTTCCTGGTTGACGCAGTATCGTGGCTTCCATTCGCGTACGTACTAGCCACGAGTTATACTGCGCAACGGTGGTCCATTTTATCTAACAATCGTTACCGACTTGCAGATAAACGCATTTGCTACCATGGTCGCTACATCTCACAATGATCGGTATCGGGGATCTAGTGACTGAAACGACTCCACTGACGACCGTACTGACTTTAGATATCAGCGTCTTACCACGAATACTGTATGGCCGTGGTTGCCATGATGATGCTGGCAACTTCGAACTTTATTATTGAGGACTATGGTTGACCGCCACAGCAAGAACTCTTGTGACGACCCTTCTTTTGCATCCCCAGACCATACAGCCCAAAAGGACCCGAGGCGGCTCAGCGGATCATGGTCGGCGGCTCTGAAAGTTACAAAGCTGTCAGCAAAGCAGCTCCGTCTTCATGAAGTCCCATAGGGTTTCCTGCAGCTACGAGCCACTAGGACAACCGCAACTACCACCACCACCACAACGACGATGACGACGACTACTAC